ATATATATGTATTTAGATGTATTCTTTCTCCTGTTATTTTTTTACATATTGACACTAAATTAATATAAAATATTATATTAAGCAATAAAGGACTGCCATTCGTTGTAAATTGTATATTATTACAGCTAATTAATTTAAAAAAGGAAAAAAGTTGTCCCAGAAAGTAAAATAAATAATAATTAAAATAAAAGGTGTACCGGCGTTGCTATAAAAAGTACATGATATAATAATAAAAGGCTACTTACAAAGTAATTATTTTTTACATTTTAAAACGTAGGTAATACTGCTAAAATATTATTTTTATAGACAAAATATTCACACAAAAGCAGGGTATTATCTTTTATTATGTCATATTTACAAATTTTCGTTGTCATTCGTTTCGTCTTCGAAATCTGCATCTCCATCATCATCATAAGTGGCGTCTTCGGTTAAATCAAAATCATCTATCAGTTCGTCGTCATTCAAAGGGCATTTCAGGCAACTGTAAAAATTAAATATTTTAATAGAAAGTTAAATAACTTGTAGGTTGTATAATGAGTTATTTTATAATTAATACAATTATTTGTGGTGCATTCACTGTGAAACATATTTTATAACGAATTGTATTAGGAGTACAAAAACGCGTTGGGAATAATTTCCCAAACTTTATTGAAAATTGATGACTATATCGTTTTGGTTATAGGCTACTATCAAAAAGAAAAAAATTCTTCGAGATGGGAAAGCTGAAATAATAGAAAGGGTAAAATAATTCGAAGTGGTCTGTATTCTGTCGAAACTGCCAGACGCGGATCGCGATTTCGATCTTTTTGGATCTCATCAGCGCGTCGCAGGCAGATCCGACAACACAGTTAAACGCACTGTTAAGACAGCAAATAAAAGTTGGTCTGTGTTCTGTCGGATCTGCCTGCGACGCGCTGAGGAGATCCAAAAAGATCGAAATCGCGATCCGTGTCTGGCAGTTTCGACAAAATACAGACCACTTCGAATTATTTTATTCGATTAAGCTAACGTGCCTATCGCGTTGAGGTTGGCTACGCCGGGATTCGTTTTCAGCAAGTAGATATCCACACAAGTGGACCTTGTTGGAGCATACGTAATCCTAAAATGTAGCATCGTACTACAGATGGCGTTTACTGCGCCATTTGTAGTATTTTCTAAAATAGAAAGGGTGTTTGCGAGTAGTGTTTTAATGGGATATTTTCGGATTCGATGGCTACTTTTTTTTCTAGGAGGCATCAAAGTTGACAAAGACTCGATTTCTACTCGTTCCGGCTTACTGATTTAATTTCAATATTTCGCACTAAAAAACGTACATTTTTTCGATTTTTAATCACAACTTTTCCATTTCAAGTGTTTGTAGGAAAGTTCTTTCATATTCGTATCATGTTAGAAGCTATAGGAATCGATATCTCAATCATCAAGATCGATCAAGAATTAGTCAATTAACCAAATCAGTATTACTGAACTTATTGAATCGAAACCCTCCTCCCGCTCTATTCATTTGTGCAATAACCTCAGATGGCCACCTTGAAGAACAAATTTGCATTAATTAGAGAAGACCACCAAGATTAGTCTGTAAAGAGGAAATGAGTGAGAAAGTGCGCGTTTGACGGATAAAAGCTGTAAGCACACGAATGTACAATAAAATCGAAGATACCCCAACAGTTAGTGAATATGCTCACGTTTCATCAGTAATATGGTATCAACGATAACAACGAACAGCAGTAATGAAGATCCGAATGCACTGCAAATACTGCAAGTGGAAAATATGAAGTTACTTTAAAGCCATCAGTGGTTTTAACATTGTAACTTCTCAGAAAGGAATATTAAATTTAATTTGTTTGGGCACTTACTCAGCTTTTTAGTTATATGAAGTTTGTATTGGACCTACTACATCCTACATCCCTAATAAAACCCCACAATGGGAGAGGAAACGTTGGTATTGATTTTATGTTAATATAGTCCATTCACCACAAGGTATTATTTTATCTACATACAGGCTCCGTCCTGCAGGAATCTGAATAGTCTCTCTGAATATATTACTAAATGGTTTTTGTACCCCAATACAATTTTGAAACTCACAGTATATTTTTAACTTAATTTCGTGGCTACTAGGGGTATTAGAGGATTTCGTCATGCGCCATCTTTAAGATTAATATTAACTTTACATTTTGGAGAATGTCTAGTATTATCTATATAACTTCCTTCAGTAAAAATATTACCTGCTCTTTTTGTATCCATAATCTATGCAGGTGTCTCCGACGCATTCGCAGCATCCATCATGAAACCATCTGTAACTTGATGCACCCATCGATTGGCAACTCTTTTTGCATTTCATCCAGCTCATACATTGAGCCATAAAAGCTACAGTACAATTAATGACTGTAGTACCATTTGATTTTATTGGAGCCACTTCTTGCTCTGCGCTTTCTATAAATAATATCTATTAGTATAAAACACTAGGCTGCGTAAAACTTCAAAAAAAATTGTTAGGTATTGCATACTAAACCCCAAACTTTCACATAAGAACGTTTAAAAACCTAATACGTGTTTCGGTGACCAAGAGTCTGAGTGTCTAAGTGTGGATGACATTTTAGATTTTAAACATTTTAATTAGTTGAATTAGTACACTAACATATAACTCTGTTTAATTTTCTTGTATGTAAATAAAAGAAATGTCGACGTTTTCTAATTAAGTTGGAAATGTAGCGATCGATCACAGTCAGGGCGGAAACACAAGTACAGTCTATTTCAATTTGTTAGAATTGTAACCTTGAAGAAATCTGCGCGAAGATAGAAAGAATACACACTAGGCGTGAGCAAGACAGAAATAGTTGGAACAAGCTTGAACGAGCAGAACTCTCGATGGGCGGTCTTAGGAGATCGGCTAGAATTTCTTAAAACAAAAATGCATATAAATTAACAATACAAAACAAAGCAAAAGTTTTATAGGTGTGTAGAACGTTAAGTTAATTCACTTGATATTATTTTTGGCTAAATATGCTTTTGAATAAGGCATATTCTTAAATTTTAACGAGGCAATTTAAATAATTTTTCAAATGGTACTGTACACTTTTGTCTAGTTCGCGCTCGATGATCGGTGAAAAAATGAGCTCCGCAGACAAACATGATTGAATTTGGGATTATGCTACGGCGCATCCTAATAAACGGAAGGGGCATATATCTAACTTCTTGAAACGAACAGTAATACTTTTGAAAAAATGCGCGCGCTCTGATTACTTACGCATGTGAAGTTTTATTTCTTTTTTCTGGATAAAATAAAAAGTATCCGACTGGATGGGAAAAGTCATGGTTGTCCATCGGGCTTGAGGGTCAGGTTCGTCTGTTAAAACCTGGAAAAGCCCTGATATTTTCTCCAACTCTCCTACATACGAATGCGTGCTCAAATTACTTTCTTCGGTATCGTTGGGTTTTGGACACATGTCTGTAATAAAATAATAAGCAGTCAAACTTTAATCTGACGATAAATCGTAAAAAAATACTTGCCAACACATGAACAACATTCGCTGTATAAATAACTGAGACACGCGGAACATTCTTTACAACAGGTACAATTTTTTAAGTCACATTTACAAGATTGGGTCAAAAGACATTTGCTAACGACGCTCCCACAAACAGCCTCATTACAGCTCTCCGCTTGATGAAGTACCACTACAAGAGCAGTCACTAATGTAGTGAAAACTGCTATGCACTGAAGCATACTGGTCCTAAAACAACATAAATTTATGTTTCTATTTAAAATTATTATTGATTTTCTTCGTCTCTTGGTGATAATTTTTGAATTTGGCTTTTCCTTGAATTATAGAATATTTGAAACATTTTACAATTTTTAATTTTAATGTATAGTCATTTCATAAAAAGCAACAGGCAGGGATACAACGTAGAGAAGTAAATATTAGGAAGGGAGTCAGGCAGGGATGCACACTGTCGCCGCTACTTTTTAATCTATACACGAAGACGCCATCAACATCATTAAAGACAGTACAACTGTAGGGATAGATGTGCAAGGGCAAAAGATTAATATGCTTAGATTTGCAGATGATATAGCAGTATTAGCATCTAGCAAGGAGGACCTAGAGATAGCTTTAAATAAAATGGAAGCGGTACTGACAGATCAGTACTGTATGAAAATAAATAAAAGTAAAACAAAAATACTGGTATGCAAGGGAAGAAAAAGTAGGGAAAGAGCGAATATAAAAATAGGAGACGAAAAATTAGAAGAAGTGGCTGATTTTAGATACCTAGGAAGTCAGATAAGTCAGGATGGAAGGAGTAGTAGGGATATAAAGCAGAGGATAGCGCAGGGTCGTGTCGCCTTTAATAAAAAGAAGTCATTTCTATGCTCGCGAACCGTTAATTTAGAAATTCGAAAAAGGTTGTTAAAGGTATATGTTTGGAGCACGGCATTAGAAGCGTTCGAAATGTGGTGTTATAGGCGGATGATGAGGATATCGTGGGTAGAAAAGGTTAGAAATGAAAAGGTATTGAAAAGAATAGGAGAACAGAGGACTCTATGGAAGTCAATAAAAAATAGGCGAGATAGGTTGGTAGGACACCTTCTCAGGCATGAAGGTCTAGTCAGAGACATATTAGAGGCAGAAACAGGAGTTAGGAGGGGTAGAGGTAAACCTAGATTAGATTACTGTTCGCAAATAGTTAAGGATGTGGGCTGTTCTAGTTTTAGGGAAATGCGAAGTTTAGCTCAGAATAGGAAAGAGTGGAGGTACGTGTCCAACCAGTCTTAGGACTGACGACCTTATGATGATAATAGTCAGTTCGCATCCTTAGGGCACTATAAAGAGTAAAAAGGGTTGTACTCCTAAAGACTTAATAATTGTAAGGCGAAGTATACAGTAAAAAAATTAAAAATTCTGAAACGTTTTAAGTGTCATTTCTCATTAACCAATGTAAATTGAGTAATGATCGAATAGTTTAAAGAATTACTGGTTATATTATAAAATTAAACAAGAATAATAAACTACTAATATATGTATACGTAAAAACAAAACGCGTATTAAATCTGTTTATTTCTTTAATGAATTATTACTGTAATCATTTTGAAATCGCAGTAAAGTAAAGGAAAATTTTACATCAATTATATACGTTCGTGAATAATTCATTAAGTTGGTGCAAAAAATTTTAGAAAAACATCTTGTTACCTTATGCAGTGTGTTCAATTAAAATAAATATGGTTTTTATGATTTCATAAATGGGGAAATAAAGAGGAACCTTTGTGGAGAGATTTCGTTCTCACTTTCTCTGTTTTATGATCAATTATTATTAATACCATCGTAAATATAACAGTTTTATATTCTCTAATGCAAAAGGGGTGGGATGTCAAAATCCGAAGGTGGGATCCATGTGCAGTATCATATGAATTTTTTTTCCTGGCATTAATAATACTACAAAAATTTAAAATAATTCTTGTAGATAGAAAATTTGGTAATTGTGAATACTATATGCTTACAACCCTTCGATTCCCTTAACCATGAAATATAAATTGTATAAGTTCTTTGTCAGTAATTTTTCAAAATTACTAGGCATGGATCACAATTTCCATCTTATCATATGTCATAAGCACCGGCTAAATCGAAACGGCAAGCAAGTTAATCTGATATCATCTATATAGTTATGCCAATATATTACGTCTGCCCATGACGTACTGATGAGATCTAATAAGATGAAAGTCAGCGCCCACGTCTGTTAGTTTCAATAAATGACTGACAAGACTGATATAGTTCTCACTAATTTGATTTAAGTACGTGCTAATCAGGTAGGTATTAAGATGTGTCATCGATTCAGTCAGATAAGCAGATTTCTCAGTAAGGCCTTTGTCTAACATGAAATATTTCAGTTAGCAGCAGATATCAATAGATGGCAATACACTGTCATAACTAAAATGTCATTTTGCTGAATCTTTTGTATAAAAATATAAGATTTAAAATAGTTTCTACATAAAAAGAACTTTGTTTGGTATGTATGTGGGGTATCGTTATTAAGACTACTTTCTTTCGAAAATTTTAGTGATATGTTTCTAAGAATATAATTTCAATTAAATAAGTTATGATGATATGTCTTGTAAATAAAACAGCAAAGAAATAAGGGGTTAGTTTTCAGATTTGAAGAAAAAATAAATAAAAACTGTTAATTTTGTTTCCATCTCCAAAAATTTTAGACCAATACATAAATATTATAGGTACTTTTCGTTTTAATGCGACGGATTAGGGAAATTTTAGGTTCTGGAAGTCATTATCACCAGCAACGTGCTTAATAAATTACAAACATGATTTATCTGAAGAATTTTTTTCTTTTACGGTCCCTAATTAAAAATCCACGCTTAATAAGTCACAGTTTCTGACATAATAACGATAATTTATTTTCCTTTTGCTTGGAATCAAGTCTAGTGAATCACAAAATCGTTTTAAGCGCATAAATTATCGATCATATAGGATCGATAATATTGATTTCATGCACACTGGCAAATAAACAAATTATTTTAGAATTATTGTTATTATGTGCATGCGAAATAATATGCGCAGATTCAATTCAATGAATGGGTATGCAGTATGTGATGTGAATTCACTACTTACTTACTAACTAAACTGAAACAACTAACAAACAAGAACAAACGAGCGTTTGCTCTGGCTGGAGGCAAATTCAATTATGCGACAGACAAGGCTATGCCGTAACTTGCATTTTTATACATGTGTATCTTCGTGTTTGTGTGAAGTCTAAGTAAAATGAGAAATTTTATTAAAAACGAACACTCACCAGGTATAACTGCAAAAATCTACTTGGAACACATTAAAACAACCTGCTCACCGACAACAACATTGATTATTCTCTCTAATTCACTCGTGTGTATTAGTTTAAGCACTTCAAATTAAATTGTTGCTTGAGCTGGTTGTTAGGTCTCTTACGAGGAGAGAAACTTGTTTTGTTATTGCCTCGTTCTCCCCTCTCTTGTTTGATTTCCATTCGCGGTAATTTCAATCGCACAATTTGAAGCCATCACAACTGATAAATAATAATTAATCTGTTACAAAATAATATTTCGGAATGTATTTAAAATTTAATGAAAAACGGCGTATATTAGGCGCTGGCGGAAATAAAAATAAAATTATGATATACTTTAACAGAAATAATTTGAAAAAAAGTCAAAGCCACCCAAGATGTTCTGATTAGAGCGGTATCTTTAGTGGACCTTCTTTTGAATGCTTGAAGCAGGTAAAATATTTTCGGAATGATTAACATTTCACCAGGTAGAACCTTGTTTAATGTATACATGGTGTTCGGTAAATAGTGGATGAACATCCAAAGGCATATGGGAAACTTCAAAACCGTTCCAAAAAATGAATTTTATGTTTAGTAACGAGTTTCACGCCTTTTGGGTGATCTGAAGTTTTTTAAATTGACATCTCTAACTAATTTTCTTTTTTTATAGGTACCTTCCACTGTGTGTATTTTTTCATTAAAAAATACTGCAACATACTATTCGCATATCTAATATATGTTTTTTATTTAGACTATCAGTACATTTTTGGTACATCCAAATTATCGTCGGTTAATATTATTGTACATTTAGTTACTGTAGCGATCATTTAAATAGAGGAAACAGTAATAATCGGGATCAGATTTAAGAATCATTAAAGACAGTACAACTGTAGAGATAGATATACAAAGGCAAAAGATTAGTATGCTTAGATTTGCAGATGATATAGCAGTATTAGCATATAGAAAGGAGGAGTTAGAGATAGCTTTAAATAAAATGGAAGCGGTATTGACAAAACAGTATTGTATGAAAATAAATTAAAGTAAAACAAAAATACTGGTATGCAAGAGAAGAAAATATAGGAAAGAGCTAATATAATGATAGGAAATGAAAAATTAGTAGCTGTTTTTAGGTATCTAGTAAGTCAGATAGGTCAGGACGGAAGCAGAGGATAGCGTAGGGTTGAGTTGCCTTCAATAAAAAGAAATCATTTCTATTCTCGCGAACAATTAATTTAGAAATTCGAGGAAGATTGTTAAAGGTGTATATTTGAAGCGCGGCGAGGTATGGGTGCGAAACATGGACGGTGGGCGCTGCGGAAAAGAAAAGAAAAGTTTAGAAGCGTTCGAAATGAGTTGTTGCAGGTGAATGTTGTGGATTCCGTGGATAGAGAAGGTTAGAAATGAAGAGATATTAGAAAGAATAGGATAATAGAGGACTCTTTGGAAGTCAACAAGAAATAGGCGAGATAGGTTGGTAGGACACGTTCTTAGGAATGACAGTTTAGTCAGAGACATATTAGAGGCAGAAATGGGAGTTAGGAGGGGTGGAGGTAGACCTAGGTTAGATTACTGTTTGCAAATAGTCGAAGATGTGAGTTATTCTAGTTTTACGGAAATGCGAAGTTCAGCTCAGGATAGGAAGGAGTGGAAGTGCGTGTCCAACCAGTCTTAGGACTTGCGACCTTATGATGATATGTTCTTTTATGTAATGCATCATGAAAGTACTTGCTAAGTATAAAATATCTATTGGGGAACTTTTTCGTCTTTGTCAGTTAATACTTACTTAAAATAGTTCTTAAAGATTTAACCAGGTCCATCATTGAAGAGGAGAGACATGATGGCCTAATGATGATAAAAAACGAAAAAGCTCTTTGTGATGCTACTGACCTAAACAACATGATTAATTTGTGGGCGAAACTTAAATACAAGCAAATTTGACTAACGTAATAATATTAACCTATGTATTAAAAATGCCTTTCGGGTTCGATTCCCGGAGAGGGTATGACAGCAGCAGCAAAAAATTTTTCTTATCAATCTGAGGTTATTTGTAGTGAAATGAAATTAAGTTGATTTAATGTTGATGTTAATAATGATAATTATTTTTTATTTAAAAATGCATAAAATAACATATCTCGCCTATTGCTTACTGACTTCCATAGAGCCGCTGTTCTCCTATTCCTTCTAAAACCTCTTCATTCTAATCTTCTCTATCCACGGTATCCTCATCATTCTCCTGTAACATCACATTTCAAACTCTTTTAACTTTTTCTTTTCTGCCGCGTCCACGTCCACGTTTCGCACCCGTACAGAGCCACGTTCCAGGCATACGCCTTTAACAATCTTTTTCAAATTTCTGAACTAATCCTTCACCAGCATAAAAGTGACTTCTTTTTATTGAAGAGAACTTGACCCTACATCTTCTGTCTTATATCTTTACTGCTTCTTCCATCCTGAGTTGTCTGACTTCCTAGATACCGAAAATCAGCCACTTCTACTTTTTCGTCTCCCATCTTTATATTCCCTCTTTCCCTACTTCTTCTATTGTATATCAGTATTTTTGTTTTACTTTTATTTATTTTCATACAATACTCCAACTCCCGTGTGTGAATAAAAAAAGATAAACTTTAACCGGAAGTAACAAAACGAAATACAGCCCGACCAAAATTTCTGCTACTATTTTTCCCGGAATATGAAGTATTTAAAGCAAATTATGCCATCAAAACCAAGCGGCTAGGCCGGTAATGCTTTCTATCCCCCCCTCTGCTCCCTTTCTCGATATGGGTTCAGAAAATGATGTACCAGGCGATAGAAAGTAAGTAAGAAAGAAACTATAAGCCGAAAGCCACTTAAATTGGTTTAATTCTTGAAGCTTGAACAACTACATCGAAAAAAACAATTTCATTCGAATATCTAAACACTGCAAATATTGAATAAAAGAAATTGTTCAATATTAGAAGGCTTTGCTGTATGATGAAAATAAATGAAATGCAAATTAAGTAACAATGACCGGCGCCTTCACCTTTTTTATGAAAATGATTAATGATCAATTGAGTTTCAATATCAAATACAAAACATTACTTTAGATTTTCACATTATTTAAATACCTGATTTAATAAAACAGAAAAAGTTTCATTAAATTATTTTTTTAACGTTAACTTTGTTTATAATTAGAAATGTTTTCATTTGTTAAATGTTAATTACCGAATAGAGGGAACTGTAATAACTTCTTCAGAATTATCTGTTCTGAATGTTTTTCACTATTTAGAAATGTTCAAATGAAGAGGTAAAGTAAGTAATTAAATCAAAATATTTTTTAATTAAATGCGCAATTTATTTACATACAATATTTGTATTTATATGTATTTACATACATAAGGAGATGCTCATTATGTTCTGATAAATAATAAATATTATTCTAATATCGAGTGAACACGTACGTAAAAATAAGAGTCAATACAAATTGTCCTTAATTCATAGCCTAGGTCGTGTAAGTTGTGCAGTCCCTTTAAAATTAATTAATAATTACCTAAATACCTATATATATATATAAGTAAGTAACTATAATATATGCACGTACAAATAATAAAAGCACTCAAGTCTCAAGATTCGTATCATTACAATAAAATTATTTACAAAATATACCTATTTTGATAATCTTTTTTTATTTTGGTATGTATATAATTATTAATATAATTACTATAGTAATA